ATTCTTTTTCCAAATCAACGCTGAACTTCCTGGAATTCAATTTCGACCATGCTTACAAGTCATAATACTTGAAGTGAAGCTGCTCATGGCCTCAAACTGCTGAACGACACACTAGAGCTCAAAACGACCGATCGGGTCCTTACAATACTGGTATTGAATGCTTCAAATCTGTCTGCCATTATAGCCCCGTCGTTTATGCAGATTCGCTGCCAAAATCGTGTTCAATGCTAGGAAACCTTTAAAAAAAACTACACAAACAAAAATTAAAGCGTAGCGTATTCATCATAATAAAATAAATGCACGAAATAATAAAGCATACGACTAGATTGATTAATTCATGATATTGTTAAGTAGGAGCCCTAAACTAGGAGCGATAGCCTAAGTTGCAAAATGGATGGATGAGAATGAATTGTTATCTAGAGGGCTCTAACGCACGAGACTTGTTGACATGAAAACAGAATGATTTGAAGTTTTGTGAAGGGCTGACTTATGTCGAACATCAAAGCTTTAGCTCTAGCACAAGTTCTTTTCCTTGCATGACTCCGGAATTTTTCAAAAATTACCCCAATCTTTAGGAAGTCTCTGATGACTACTCGATGGCATGATTTCATGTTTAGCATACTCAACCTGCGTTCCAAAAATCTTCCCCAGTTTCTTTCATGAACTGAAATGGAAATTTTGCTATAATGAGACTGAGTCTTATATAGACTGCCTACGTATCCCACCACGGGAATCAAGTCAAACGTAGTTTCAAAATACATAATGGATAATTTTACTAAAATGTGACCGAACCCGATGTGGATTTCCTATGTATCCCACCAAGGGAATCAGATCCGATGTAGTTCAGTTACAAATAAGGATCGAAAGTTTTAAAATAGAAGTGCTAAACCCGATATCATATTTTATCCGACAAGAATCAAGCCGGTCATAGTTCGTTACCAAAGATGAATACAAAAGATGATCATTAATGTCAAATGATATTGCTACTTCAAAAACTAAATCTTAGTTCACGATTCTCAACTATTCTTCTTCTGGGAGGTGCTTCCATACGCTCAATCCTTCTACATTGCTTGGTTGTAGGGAAGAGCTGAATTAACAAATTGCAGATAAGCTACTTGGGTGAAATTCTGTATTGGGATGATATTTGGAGGTTGATACCACATAGATTGAGGGGGAGGCACTGGTCTCTGAATGACCCTACCATTATCCAACAGCTTCTGGATTTCCTCTTTCAAACAATGACACTCATCGGTTGTGTGGCCTAGCATGCCCGAGTAAAATGCACAACACTTGGTTTGATTGAAATGAGGTGGAGGGATTTTGGAAAGTTTTGGTTGCATGATACCAAATGATCTCAATCTCTCAAAAATGATAGAAGGTGGTTCACTCAAAAGGGTAAAGTTTCGGGATTTTCTTATCTTGGGTGTTGATGTTGGAGGATTTAATTCTTCAGCAATCACTCCTTTCCCTTTATCCTCAAGGTGTGTCTCAACCGGCTTGCCAAGCTTGAAAGTTGATTCTACCGCATTTCCTTGAGGTTCGTTTGCTTTCAAACTGTGAGAAGACTCCAAGGATTTCCTCTTCAACGAGCTTCATCTGCTAATAGTATTGTTGGAGGACCCATATTGCTTGACAAAGTCCTTTACTAGGTCATTCCAACTGAACCATCTCCAAGTGTCTTGTTTTGCATACCACATTAATGTTGGCCTTGTAAGTGTCCTCACAAAGAGCCTCAACTTAAATTCATTTCCTTGCCCTATGCATGCTAGCCAATCATGATATGCTTTCAAATGGCTTGAGGATAACCTATCTCGTTGTACATTGGAACATCAATGAGATTAGCAATATTCCCATTCTCATTTTCTGCTATAACTATCTGACTCAGGTTGTAAGACATGACCGTTTCCTAAAGGTACATGGTTACTCTCAACATTGAAATGTTTTCCACCACTTTCTCTATCTTTACTTGTCTCGACCAAGCTACTGAATGCCTTTTCTAGCAAGAAAGAGTGCATATTTGTAAAGGACTGGGCAATATATTCTTAAATGGGAGGTGGAGCTGTGCGAATTGGAGAGTAGCCTTTTTCGTTGGACGAGTTCTTAAGATCGGCTATCACTTCCTTAATGCCATCAATTTCTTGCTCCATTTGTGCCACCTTTACTTCAAGCTTAACAATCTTATCCTGGTATGATTCTGTTTTCTCGCCAGCAGCTTCGTCTTCAACTAAGTCAATCACTATGATTTGGTCAGCCATATCGTCCTTGAAATTTTTCTTGCTTTGATGTTCAAATTAAGTCAATCTTCGGAGGAAAGACAGAATAGATGGTAATGACTAAAGCTGAGAGTAGAACTTTTAAGAATGCATTCCTAAGAAATCGACAAATCGAGTCTTATAATAGGGCTACGTATAAGAGATGCCAAAAATGGGTGATTTATATGTTGAAAATAATTTGTTGGTATTTGTATATAGACAAGCTTGGAGTCAAAATAATTGATAAGGATATGGTAGTCATGAAAATACTCTAATTTTTTTTTTATATTCGCAAATCATAAAGTTGTCGAGGCCTGGGAATTCGGTGCCAATCGTTTTGAGACTTATGGGATAGTACCTCGACTAACGTGCCAAAACTTAGAATTAACGGGCATGAAGATTAATCTCGACGATCCGAAATAAGATGATACAGACACTTGAATTGAATAGGTAAAAAATTTAGAATAGTTTGACGATGCAAATTGACCAAATAGTGGCCTTCTATTGCTTGGTAGATTGCACAAGTTTGGACATCTACCCACTTGTAAATGAGAGTTGGCATGAAGGTTGAAGTTCTGTGATATAAATCGAATGCTAAATGGATTATATGAAACATGAAGCTACTAGACAAGTATTTTAAGTTGTGGAGATACAAGATTATGCCGGAGTTGGAAAAATTAAGGAAGAATTGAAAATCATGTGAGGCACGAGTGACAATATTTTAAAAACGTGTAACCATATTTTAATAAAAGGATTAAAATAAAATTAACGTGAAAATTTAGATAATTCCCATAGATGGACCAAAATATATCACCTAATTATGAAGATTACACCAATTTTTAAAGAAGTAAGATGCTCATTGTTGTTTAAAGAAAATTCTTAAGGCTAGTTTAAGGCACGAGTATCGATGAATTTTCATGACGAACCGAGCTTATTGAAGAGTTTGCAAAAAAATACCTACCTTATAAGAAATAGAAGATCATGCCTAGAGACTAAGAATTGGAGTTGACCTTAGAGAAATTTGGACCTAACCGGTGCTCTAGAGTCGTTAAAGAGCGCTAAGCGCGGAATGATTGGTGATTATTATTATTATTAATTCGGGAAGATAATAAAAATACGTAAAAGAAAAAAAATATGAACAATTAAAGTATACATAAAAATGTAAGCAAGATGAATAGTCAATACTTTCTTCTTCTTTAAAACAACAAACGATGTTGGTTAGAATAATAAAGTCAAGTAAGACACATAACAAATAAGCAAGTAAGCAAGCAAAGCATGTGACGCATTTCGAAGTTTAACAAATAATAGCACGTCCTAATATAAGGGACCTTTTTATGCCAGAGGTAGGCCTAGCGTGTATTAAAGGGCAAATATCCCATTATGTGTCATTCCATATCTGTAAATTAATTAAACAATTTCATTTTTTGTTCAAAAGAAAATAAAGTACATAAATTGCTTAAACCTTTTTTCTTGTAATAAAAGATCAAAAGAAAGTATAATAAAAGATATTTTCGTCATGTTTAAACTTCTCGTTGATTATGTCATTTGAAAACTTTCATACATATCATAGAAAAGCTGGTCATGCTCCTTTGCCTAGGAGTTAATTAATTTAAAGCAAATGGTCCACATAATTGGCATGTTCACCCTTCAAATAATGCATATATACGTGATAAGGTGTCACTTAGGGTTGAAAACCCACTTGGACATTTAGGTAAAGTTAACTAATAGATTTAATACACCTCGGATATTGAATCACCTAAGGTTAAATTGATGTATGCTCTTAAAAGGGTTTTGGTTTAGCTCTATCTTAGGCTGACAAAGAGTGGGTTTTTCTAGACTAGTCATCTCCCAAGTGGACAACTTGAGAATGGAAAGCCGTGACTGTCGGCCGCACCGCTGATCGACTTACCCACGAACTTTCTCCTAAAAGGTGTTTTAAATAGTGCACGGCCGCAAACCATGTAACCGTTAGGTGTGTGCTTTGTGTGAATTTTCCAAGAGTGGAAGAAATGAAACGCAATGACAATTTATATAAAAGCAGTAACACATAAACAATGTGTATTAAACAACAAAATTACATCATATAGAAAAATTTAAAGTCAAATAAAGTAAGAAAACAAGCCTTAATTAACTAAGTCTGTTATGGTTAGAACCTAGTCCCCAGCAGAGTCATCAAGCTGTTAGACCCCGTTTTAACACGGGTCAAATTAGAGTATAACATATTGATAAATTCGAGGTTAATTAATTAAAAAGTCGCCACCTAATTATTTTAAAGGTGAAGTAGGACACATATTTACAAAATAATGCTTAAAGTTAACTCTGTTTATATGGTCTGTTTAACCTTAAGAATATGGGTAAGGGTTTTAATTAATCTTATAGGGAAGGTTATTAAAGCACCCTATATGATCCATCAATTACGGTTAACCGGCCAAACTTAAATTAATTAGTTTAAAGTCTAATTTAACAATATAATTACTTAATGTAATATTTCTAATATATAGTCGGAAAATAACACGTGATAATATATTTGATGTATTAAAACTTTACTAAACAAGTAAAACTTAATTCAACATACGTCCAGAATAACTCTCCAAAGACCATTTTTAGGACAACTTGAATTGAACTTAAACATTGGAAAAGGGAACAAATTTCTAAAATATTGCCGAAAAACGTTAAGTATCTAGAATCGATGTTGGCAAATATTGTAATAAACTGACCATTGACATATTTGAACTTAAACTCAAATTGTTGATTTTAAAAAGCTCTTAAGATCGATGTAAAATAGATTCGATAATTTGTTGTTAACTAGATTAAATGCCACTAAATAAGATTTAGCTACCAAATCCCATGTAAGATATAGCCCAAACATGCAAATAAATCTAACAATCATATAGAAGTTAAATAAAACAAATGAGAAGAGAAAAGAAAAAGAAAAAGAAAAAGAAAGACGCCATAAGCGCCCCCAAGCATTTCGCTTGTTTTCTTGTTGTCGGGTGCATTCTAAGGAGGATAGTATAGGATGTGATGACTCCATGCTTGGGTAGTGTAGAGTCTAGAGTGAGACTCCATTTTGCTCCAGGTGCATATGCGAAGACAAACAAGAAATAAGAATTTAAAAAAATGGAATCTGATTCTTTATACTACATAAGAGATAAATAAAGAAGTAAAGACTCGTAATATAACTCATCCCATAAAAGTTTATAAGATGAAATACTCCACATAAAACTGTTTTCCTTAAGAATAATAATAGATTTGTGTTCTATAGCTCTAACATCAAGGTCTTAAACGGCCAAACTCTATGTCATTAAAATGTTATGACTAAGTTACAGTATCTATCTAATACTATTCAATTACAAAGGTCAGTCCGCCATTTTTGTTCAGAAATCACAACAATGGATTGATTAGCCAAATACCCATTCAACCTATCCAGAACCAGTTTCGGTATTTCGAGGACTTCGAACATGACGTCTATCACAAAGATGAAACTCAAGTGTATCCAATTAGTAACCTTTACATATAGATCAATTTTAACCCGTATACAACATATTTAGTTGTAACGATCCGATCGGTCGTTTTGAGTTTTTGCACATTGTTCGCCAGTTCTCGGACATGACTTTCCCCGTGTGGTGTATTATGACTTATGTAAATCGTTGGTTTCGGTTTTCAGGGTAATCGGAATGAATTTGGAAGAACAACTCCCAGTTTGAAGCTTGAAATTTGAAAGGTTTGACTTGCTTGTGTATGATCTCGGATTGGCATTTTTTTGATTTGGTTAGCTCCGTTAGGTGATTTGAGACTTGGGAGCGTGATCGGAATGCATTTTGGAAGTCCGTGGAAGGTTTAGGCTTGAATTGGTGAAATTGAGATTTCGGCGTTTTCCGGTTGTTAGGTGAGATTTTGATATAGAGGTCGGAATGGAATTTCGGAAGTTGCAGTAGTTCCATTGTGGCATTTGGGATTTGTGTGCAAAATTTTAGGTTATTCGGATGCGGTTTGGTTGGGTTTTTTATCAAAAGCAGAATTCGGAAGATTTTAGAAAGTTTGGCTTGAATCCGATGTGTTTTAGTTGATTTGATGTTGTTTGAAGTGTTTTGATGATTGGAACAAGTTTGTATAAGGTATTGGGTCATGTTGGAGCCTTTGGTTGAGGTCCTGGGAGCCTCGGGGTGATTTCGGATGGTTAACGGAGAGGTTGGATTTTTTGTTGGAACAGCTGATATTGCTGCTTCTGGTATATTCGCATCTGCGGATTGGGGACCGCAGATGCGGCGCCGCAGATGCGGGTTATTTATTGCAGAAGCGAAAAAGGGCCAGACGTGTAGAGACTGCAGAAGCGGTATTGTGACCCATTCTGCGATACCGCAGATGCGGAAGTTTAGTCGCAGAAGCGGTGTGGGCTGAGTAAGTGAATTTCGTAGAAGCGGATCTTTAGACCGCAAATGCGGTACCGCAGAAGTGGATTTTTGACCGCAGATGCGGGTATCCCTGGGCAGCACATATAAGTTATTTCATTACGCGAGTTTGAGATATTCCACCATTTTTATCTTCGGCTTGAGAGCTTTGGAACGATTTGGAAGAGGGATTTCAAGGGAACTTCGTCAAGGTAAGGATTTTGGACCTAAAACACAATTCTATGGTAGTATTTCATGAATTTAGGGCTGTAATTAAAGGAATTAAAGGGCAAAAATAGAGGATTAGGGCTTGAGTTTAAGAGGCCTTTAAATAGGGATTTGAGGGGTCATTTGGACTCCGATTTTAGTATTCTTAATATGTATGAACTCGTGGGGAGATAAGAAATCTATTGGTGTGAAAATTTCTGAATTTCGAGACATGGGCCCGTGGGTCGGGTTTTATTTTAGCTTGGGCTTTGTTCCATTGGCATATTTTGACGTCCTCGTTCTAATTTTGGTTAGATTCAACGCGTGTGGAGGCCAATTCGAGGGGCAAAGGCATCGCGAGCTAGAGATTTAGCTGGTTCGAGGTAAGTAATGATTGTAAATGTTGTCCTGAGGGTTTGAAACCCTGGATTTCATAACTTTGTGCTACTTTGAGGTGACGCAAACGCTAGATGACGAGCGTGGAGTCGTGAACCGTTGGGGGTTGTGACTTGGTCCGTCCCATATGACCGTTAAGTCGCGTATTTGATTTGAAATCTTATGATATTCCATATTTTTAGAGATTGATTAGCCTCCCCACTAAACTTTGATAAGGTTCAGGGTTAGGTAACACACAGTCCTTGACTCTTGCACCTGTGGCATCATCAGTGCACAAGACAACCTCATCAAATTCTACTATGGCCAGCCTTTGATTGGATTCTAATAGGGTAGATACTGGCTTAGCTCCCCCTAGACCAGAGTCATCAATCAAATCAAGGGCATATTTCCTCCAATTCATTAAAATGCCAGCCTTGCTGCGAGCAAACTCTATGCCAAAAAAAGAATCTGAGTTCCCCAAAATCTTTCATTTTGAACTTCTTCTGAAGGTTGTCTCTAGCAGCCTGAATTAGTTGGAGATCATTACCTATGACTAGTTTGTCATCTACATAGACCAAAATGACAACCAAAGCTGAACCTCTTTGTTGTGTAAACAAGGAGCACTCAAAATGACTTTGTATAAATCCCAAATCTCTAAGAGCTTCTGTCAATTTNGGATTATATACTTATGGATCGGGCTGCACGGCGCAGCAATATATATATATATATATATATATATATATATATATATATATATATATATATATATATATATATATATATATATATGTATATGGATCGGGTTGCACGCCGCAGCGATATAGCGCTTGGGCTGAAGCAGCCCCTCCGGAGTCTGCACACCCCCAGTGAGCGCAGTCGACTATATTCATGGATCGGGCTGCACGCCGCAGCGATATATGGATCGGGCTGCGTGCCGCAGCGGTTACTATATGGTACCTATTGAGTGTGAGTGCTGAGTGGGAGCGCTGATTGGTAAGAGTTGAGTCACGAGTGACTGAGAGGCCTTCCCGAGGGGCGATAGATATGTACATACATGCACATGAGTGATGAGTTGCCTGAGGGTCGTGCTTATGAACTTATTGATTTTCCCTCCTTTTTAAAGTGATTTTCTATCGAATATGTTGATTTATTTACTGCTTTCACTCATCTTTATACTGAGCCTCTGTCGAAAATGTTGAACAAATGTTTTATAAACAACTTTCATTTAAGCTGGGGTTTTACGAGATGTTCAGAATTTAATCATTGATTTGGATTTGTTATTTCCACTGAGATTTTCATGTTATGAGGTGTTTATGATTCCTGTTTTGCCCGAGGGGCTGTTTACTAACTAAGTTTTTCCCGAGGGGCCGATTATGGTTTTCATCTCCTTTATTATAAATGGTATTGAACCCCTACTGAAATTGTTGGAAGGTATTTTCAAATGATTTTTACCAAAAGCTGGAATTTAAATGAGACGATTGACTCGTATTCTGTTTTGAAAGCCTGTTGTGCTTATTGAGTTTATCATAAATGTGGATTCATCGTTTCCTACTGCTCAGTCTTTATTTACTCTTCTTACTTACTGGGTTGGAGTACTCACATTACTCCTTGCACCTTGTGTGCAGATTCAGGTATTTTCTGAGCTTGGTGGCAGTTTTCATCGGAGTTAGCAAGGTAGCTGTCTGGCGATCGTGGCTTTGTTTTCTCCCTCTTTATCCTCCCTTATGTATTCTTGTGACTTTCCGACCATTTCGGTCTTGATGTGGTTAGACAGTTGTAGTAGATGCTCATGACTAGTGACACCCCGATGTCGGGCTTGTATGTTATTTCCGCACTGTTTATTTAGACTTATATTATGAAACATTTGTTTAATTAAAGGCTTTGAAATGGCTATTAATGATTGAAGGGTTAATATGGGTGTTGTGTCGGCTGACCTTGTCTTCACGAGAGGCGCCATCACGACCAGGTCTGAGTTTAGGGTCGTGACAAGATCAGAGCCTAGGTTACATCGGTCTCACGAGTCATGAGCAGGTTTAGTAGAGTCTCACGGATCGGTACAGAGACGTCTGTATTTATCCTCGATAGGCTGCAGATCCTTTAGGAAAACTCCATATTCTTGAAATTCTTATCGTGCGTCCTTGATTCAGCTTGAAAAATAACTCTTTGAACTCCTTCCACGCATTCGTATGCGCGAATGAGCGCTCAGTATCAGATATGCATCTTTGGCTTGTGATTCCCTGATTGAGGGGCGAGATGTGATCTTTATGTGCAGATGTTGGGCCAGTCTGGAGGACTCGAGGTCGGATTAATGCCTATAGCTTGAGCACCGAGGTGCTGATTATGTGAGCACGTGTTTCTGGATCTATGTGTTCTGTTGTGTCCCTATTAAGGGAAGTAATGACTAGATAGTACGTGATGAGGGTGATGTGACTACGAGATGTATTCATATGATTTAGAAGTGATGAGAAGGGGTCTGTTGGAGGATGGAAGAACTATTAGGTGCCTGATTACCATCTTGATTTGAGGTATAGCCCCAAGTTAGGGGTGCGTGAAGAATCTTGGTTGGGAGTGAAGTAAATTTCATGTGGCGGTATGAGTTCAGACTCAGGAAGACTAAGTGACTGCGTGAAGTTTATATCGGTGGAAGGTATACAGAAATGTTAGTTGGAGGCAAAGCAGGTGGGTTATCTCCTGCGGAATGTTCTGAGTTTGTGCGATCCTTATGTTGTCTGTTAGAAGATCTCAATTTCAAGTGAAAGATATATGTTCTAATTTGAATTTGGGTCGCGTAAGAGAGTGGGTTTAACTACTACGAGATGAATGCGAGATTTGCAGAAGATATGAAGTACTAGATGGTCGGTGTTCCATGAGCTTATGACGGATTGAGTTAATCTCACTGTGGTATTATGGTAGCAATTAAGTATATGCGGTATGGGTTATTGTGTGTGTTTTGATCTATGGCTTCGAGCCAAGTGGGGGAGTTTGTTATGGATTAGCTGATTGCATGGTTATGTGCTATGTTGGTTCCAGTTTGAGGCATGCGGGTGAATCAATCATGGTTTGCGGGGATTGAGCCCAAGGATGGCTCGTGTAAAGGAAG